ATACCGGTGCTTCATCATAATAATTAGGACTATTCAAAATTTCTGTGAAAGGTTTTTCACAAATTTTTCTCCTTTCTTGTCTGCTTTTCCCTTCCAAAAATTTATTAAAACTATACCCCGTTTCAATAGATTCCCCTCCACGATCAGTAAATTCCATCCTAGAATTTTTTCAAAAGTATTGGAATCATTCTTCTCCAAAAGGAGGAAGTTCTCCTTCGTATCAGCCTTTTTCTTTTGTAATTAAATATCATACCTTTGGATTAACAGGTTGAATTACCTCATCCCAATCACAAATGATTTTTAAGGGACGACCCTTCTCTTTGGATTTTTGCTTAATAAATTCATAAAGGGAGTTGGACATAAATAATTATTTTCTTTCTAGTTCTAAATCAGTATTTTCTATTTTAATTCCCGCACTTTTCGCCGTTCCGGCAATAATTTTTTTAGCTTTCTCTATATCATCAGTATTCAAACTTGGCATTATTTCTCGGGCTATTTTTTCTAAATCGGCGAAAGAAATCTCTTTTCTCTCATTTTCTCGGGCTTTTCTTCTATCTTCCTTATTCTTTAATCCTTTGTAATCACTGCGTCTATTTTTTAATAAATAAATACTAGGAGAAGTACTAATATTATATTCGTGATTTTTATCAGCGTAAACAATTATATCAACATTAACTATTTCACCATTTCTAGTTTTGGTTTTTTCGTTAAATTCCTTACAAAAGAGAGCCATATTTTTTAAAAAAGCTAGATTAGCCCCCGGCTTGGCTTGCCCACAAATTAATTGGAGATTTCTAACTCCCAGTTTTTTTTTCTTCATATTATATAATTTATTTTAATCAAAAAAAGATTACCAAAATCACCATTACTGACCATTATCAACTAAAACATCCGAAATTACTAACCAACTAATTTTAAAAACGGACTAGAAATGAAGCCTTTTAAAAAACATGGTAAAAAGAGCATTATTTATTTGAGATTGAGCCACTTATCAAGGTCAAACTTACCATTTAACTTTCTGAATCAGTCCTCCCGATACAGCAATAGAACCAATAACTATTAAAGCAATTACCCCTCTGCTCAGACCTTTACCTTTATTACTTTAATAAATATTCCTTACTTTTTAGAAACAAAAGGATTATTTTTAATATAAAATCTTCATAAACGGTCTTTATCCTCTCCCGCATAGTCAATATTAACTCTTTTGGTAGCAATAATTTCCTCTTGGTTAAGTTCTGGTTGGTCTTCCAAATAAATTAAATCACTAGTGGTTAAATCAACATTATTAAGGCTTATGTCAATATTCAAGGCTCGACATAATTTCCCCGGACCATTAGTATAATAGTGATATTTTTTCCTTTCATCATGAAGAGAACTAACTGAAATGGTATGGTGGTCAAGTGGTTCAGCGGCTCGGATTAATACTCCTTGCGGGTCTCCTTCTAGTGAGGAAGCGATATTGAAACAATAATACATACTATAAATAAGGTAAACATAAGCACAACCACCTCGATTAGACAAAGCAGCGGATTTTCACCGCGACCTGTTTTCTAGATGAGCATGACAAGCGTGGTCAATTTTGCCTATATAGGCTTCGGTTTCCACAATTTTAACTTTAATAAGTTGGCCGTTAATATTTCGAACTAGTATTTTGCCGAGTAATTTTTGGGCTAGTTCGACTGCGTCAATGATGAAGAAGTTGGGGTCAATAATGCGTAAAAATTCATTTTCTCTATTCATTCCTTATTATTGGATTTTTTTATTCATTCTTAATTTCCTTTTTAACTTCGGCAAGCAATTTTTTTAATTCTTGGTGATATTTGTCTTGCTGGTTAATTAAATCTTCTAATTCTCTAGTAGTTTCAAGTAATCTTTTATCAATTTCTTCGGGAGTTAATTCAATTTCATTTTGGGATAAATAACGGGCTGGAACCAAAATATAATTATTTTCTTTAATTTCGGCTTGGGACACAATTTTCGCCAGCAATCCATTTTCAGGAAGTTCCTGTTGGTTGAGAAATTGATGATATAATTCAGCAACTTCTTGAATATTTTTTTCGGTTAATATCCTTTGACTGCTACTAATTTTTTCGCCAAAATCATCTTGGGAAATATCAACCATTAATACCTTTTCGTTTTCTCTGTTTTTTCGCAAAATTCAAACGCAGGGAGCAATGCCGGTAGTATAAAACAGATTATTTGGTAGAGTTATTATCGCTTCTACTAAATTGCTTTCAATTAAATTTTGCCGAATGCTGGCAGCTTTTTTATTCAATCCGGACAAAGTTCCATTAGCCATGATTATAGTGGCTACTCCTTTTTCTTTTAATTTAAAAAGACAATGTTCTATTCAAGCAAAATTAGCATCATTTTTAGGCGGTATTCCTCATTGTCAACGCGGGTCATTTTCCTTTATTTGAGAATTAGCGATATTAAAAGGAGGATTAGTGATAATATAATCGGCATTTTTGTTAGGGTGTAAATCTTCTTTAAAAGTATCTTCGGCTCGTGGACCTAAATAAAATTTTAAGCCATGGATAAGTAAATTCATCCGAGACAACTTTCAAGTGCTATCATCAATTTCTTGTCCTAAGCAAAGGGGCTGATAAGCATTATTACCATTGCCTTTTTTATTTTTTTTGATGAATTCTTGACTTTGAACGAACATGCCACCACTACCACAGCAAGGGTCATAAATCACGATTTCATAATCTTTGCGGGGGAAAGGTTGAAGGATATTCACTAATAACTGAACTACACAAGCCGGAGTATAAAATTCACCACCGGTTCGACCACTACTGGCCGCAAATTGTTGGAGAAAGGAGAAAAATTTGTGAAAAACCTTTCACAGAAATTTTGAATAGTCCTAATTATTATGATGAAGCACCGGTAT